CGCGTTACCATGCCCGGCTGATTCTTTGATTTATCGTAGAGATGAGGTCTCACTGCCCAGGTGGGTCTTGAACCCGCGGGCTCAGGCAATCCACTCACCTCAGCCTCCGAAAGGCGCGGGATTACAGGCTGAGCCACCGAGCCTGGCTCCACATCACCCTCTTTAAGTAGAAGAAAATAGTGACAAGATTTATTTCCCAGCTAATATTAATTATAACATCACAAACATCTTTGCCCCTGAAGTGGTCATAGTTGCTTTTCTTTTAAAATTTTTACTCTTCTCTTTCCTTCATTTTTGAATTAACAGTTGGTTTTTAAATAACACTTTTTTTTTTTTTTATTCTACAAACTTCTAGCAAATGTTTGCCTGGGTTTGCTAGTCATATAAATTGACTGGAAGAGGCAGTCCCCACCCCTTTCCTACCATTATTACCAGCTTAGAGGATTCCCTCTTTTCTATGATGTGGCACCACTTTGTCAGGACCTCATCTATTATGTGTATTTATTTACAAATCATATCACCCTTACTAAACTGTAAACTTCGCAAAGGTGAGATCATCTTCCTTCTCTGAAATCCAATCTAACCCAGTATCTGACACTGAATAGACATTGAATTATCTGATTTGTAACTGAGGACAAATGAATGAATATGAAACTGCAAATGGCCCCGTAGTGATCTGTATAGGCTGCCAGGGGAGGAACATACAGCACAGCCCCTCCCTACAGACTGTAGGCTTCCTTCTAGAATCAATGGCAACTATTTCTCTACTGAAGACTTACTATGTACAAGGCACAAAGGGAGTTCCAAGACTGAGATCTTTTTACTCTCCCCTCTGCCACCAAAGTGGGGGGAAAGATTCCAGGTCATTTCTATTTGTTTTTGTGAAAAGGCTGGCAATCGGAGGGAAGAAAGTAAAGTGAAATCAATGGAAATACTGAGGGCTGTCACGTCTACATCTGGGTTTTTGCACTGCCAATTCACATTTTCTGAGTGAGTTATTTCTATGTCCCTTCACAGCAGCCAGCACTGCAGTACCTTGCATATATTATATGCTCAATGAGTACTTGTCAATTGATTTTGTACGTGCATGTGACAGCATAAATATATTGTGAAAAATGAGGAAGCTTGGCACTAAACGAGCCAGAATTTCTTCTCAAAAAAATACACAGTGGCGGAACTTGGCATAAAGTTCAAATGCTCCTGCACTCTGCCCTGCACTATCTCTAACTGGGGGACTCTGATAAGGGAGCTGAAGGGTGATATTACCTTTGCTCTCTCACTGTAATCTAAAGCATTCTTAGCTTTTAGGTGGCCCCCACTGGCTAACTTGCTGTGGAGTTGTCAAAAGCATAGAATCATCCATTTCACTATCAAAAGAAGATGCTGTTTAATCCGAGGATCCTGTTGAACAATGCAGCTCTTAGGAATGGTCACAATTTCATGGTTCGAAATTTTCGGTAAGTGATGGCTAGAGATTTGTGTCTGACTTAGGAACCGTGTTGATAAATGAAATTATATTCTGCAGAGGAATATAGCCACAAAAGCCTTGTTCTGCAAAGCGTAGTGTCACGCTTTGCTCTACTCTTATTTGAGACAGCTGTCTCTAATTCCAGCCGGGCTTTCATTTCTCAGTCCCTCTGTAATCAGATTTCATCGTGTGCCGTGGGGGAAGCTAACCACGGCAGGTATAACAGACTAAATGTTCTTGACACCTTCCATTTGTGTACATTCTAAATGAGCAACTGGCTGAAGGAAATTAGGGGAACTAATTTACACAGGGCCTTCAGCTTGTATTTGAGTTTGCTGGAAAACAATATATCACTCTAGGGTGTCGATACTAATCGGTTTCTTAAAAAAAAAAAAAAAACAAAACCAGACTCCAAGTAGCAACTAAATAAATACTGACAAAGGAGTCTCATATGTGATGAAGATAACAGTATTTTTTGTCTTACAAAATCCAAATTGGAAAAACATTCTGAAATTCTTGGTGGCATGTGCGAAGGAGGCTGTCTCCAATGAATTCATTAAAAAGTTTACATCCTTCTTACAGTCATTTAGTACGTGGTTAAAGACACCATGGAGTGTGTGAGTAGGGAAAGGGAAGGGAACAGGGGAGTTGAATTAGCTGGGTAAGCAAGGCCATCAGGTGGAGACACGGTTGCCAAAAATCTTCTAGAGTAGTTGCATGTTAATAACTAGATAAAATTTCCCCAGAGCCTCCTTACAACATAAAACCACCCCCCTTCCGACTTCCTAAAGGAAGAAACTTTGAGTTCTGGTCTGAAGTTTTCTCATACTATTAAGAAGTGGACCTGTGACAATGGTCCAGGGTGTCCCTTCTCTGGGCCACCTGACAAGTCTAGGTTCTCTGGATTCCATAATTAGTACCACTCAGTTGGTGAATATAAGGCTCTTGGAAGCCAGAACGACACCATAAATGATATTGTAAATTAAACCCATATCATTACAACTAGATGAGACCTCAGAGCCATGGAATAATGCCTTTTCTTAATTTACAGACAAGGTAAATGAAGCCCAGAGAGATTATGGGGTTTAGCAATTAGTACTAGAGTTAGATCACATAACTCAAGAAGCTGGGTAAAACCTTAGATTTTAGAGTCTAAAGTAGGTTCATGGCCTGGCACCACCACTTGCTGACTTTATGACCTTGAGCAAGTCACCAATTTTTCTACAATATTGCTTCACCTGTAAAACAGAAAAAAAAGATAATATCTACTCTGTTTACATGACAGGGTAGTTCAATCATTCATTCAACAAATATTTACTGAGCACCTACTTTGTGCCATGCCCTATGCAAGGTGTTGGAGATAGAGTGGTCAATAAGGATCATTCCATCCATATGAGGTCACAGTCTAGTGATAACAAGATAATGTGTGTGAAACCTGCAAAGTGCAGACCAATAGTGTTCATTATTAATTTCAGCATTCCATCCCACTGGGTTACATCGGATAAAAATATGATGAAGTTGAATTTCATAGTTTTAAAAACCAAATAAATCATCACTGAGTTGAAAATACTCAACTGAATGAATAACCAAAGCCTGGAACTTAAACTTATGCTCTTCTTTGAAAATTACAGTGATGATTGATTTTAAAATAATTATTACAAGTTAAATTTTGCAAATAAAACCTCTTCCAAATAGTTGGGCTTTTTTGACATTTACGAACATTCTATTGCCTATAACCAGTTGCCAGATAATATTTCTGAAATATTGGCTAGCTATTTCTCGCAGTGAATAGAGGCTAGGGAAAAATATGGATACATCAGCCCAAACCTGTACTTGCTATTTGAAAATATAAAGCCTAGAGTCACCCATATTGTTGAAAACTCAATGCCATGAGTCTCTGTTGAAAAATGAGATAATGTCGAAATGGTTTCAATATGGCATTCTCATGGAGCATAAGTATTTTTCTTTCCTACTGTATAAATTAGCCATACTACCTGTCAGCTAGATAAACTCAGAAGTGTTGATCTCCAATAAGACCTACAACCTTTTACAACTACCTCAACAACAGACAAAAGCTTCCTGTCAACTCTGCCTGTGCTATATTTTTACTTTGATTTTCAACCTGTCACAAATATTCAAGTTCTTTTTTTTCTCATATCTCTTGGGAAAGGTGGAGGGCCCTTGTTACACAACATACCATGTGAGTTTACCACTTGAGAGTAATAGGAAATATGCGGTTAGGGTTTGGCAGTGCCACAAGACAGGAATGGCACAGTTTTGCAGTGAGCAGCCATATTGTCATGGGCATGATAAAATAATGGCTTATTTGAGGCTGAGGCCATCCACACAGGCTCCTGGATCAATCATTTTTGGTCAGTTAATTTTTTCTTCTTTTTACAAAATCAATAGGATCAGAGACCAAGACTGCTGAAAACATCCAATTCACAAGCTTTCTATCTCACAAACAAAGCTCTAGAGCCTGGCTGTGTTTGGATAACAGAGAGTGTCCTATGATTTGTTACCTATTAGGGAAACCACTTAGGGCTTTTTAAGAAACCACTAAAAAAATCTCTTTCTTTATCAGTCAAGACCAATTTGTAAGTGCAGTTCAATTTCATCTCACAAATAGAAATTTCTACAGAGAATACTGAGCTAAGCCACCCAATTCAGTGGAGGTTATGGATTGGAGCTGGAGGTGACTGGTTTTCAGATTTTTCATTCCAGATCTCTTTAATGGATCATATAACTCATTATGCTCCCTCCATTCCTCATACATGCTCACTCATACGCACATGGACACCCAGACAACTTGATTACAGGCCACCCGTACTCTTGCATAGAGGAGAGAAAACAACATTCTTTGGTTATTCACATTTTATGTCCAAACTTAAAGTGAATATCTTATTTAAAAAAAAAAAAAAAAAAAAGCTTGACTTCAGAAAACCATACCAGACAGGAGACCAGGAATGGAATGGGGCCATGATGTTTCCATTGGTTGACAGTAGAACTTTTTTCCTAGTTTATTATCTTCAGTAATTTAACTTAGATAAAAGATGCCACAAATGTTTGACAGTTTCTAACCCTTTTAATAGTAGGTCTGCATAAAACTGTCCTTCACCTGAATACTTGAATTCTCAAATGAGATGTTTCACAACTCTAGAATATTGATGATCTAAAATATCTTAGAAACCACCTACTCAGTTATCAATAATAATTTATGTCATATATATGGGTATGTGGCATCAGTGAGGGACATTTCAAGTACTTTTTATTAAAATATTATTGTTGTTAATAAGAAAGTAAATACATTTGAAAATAATTTATAGGGTTTTCTTCACAAAAATGGGATCAGTTCAAAGTTTTCTGTGAAAATAAAGTTATTCTTCCTTGCATGAATTCCAATATGCCTTTTTGAGAAGGAAAGAAATAGATAAATTAAAGTTAGGTCACAGAGAATTCAAATAGTTCCAGCATTACCCATGGGAAGTCTCGTGCTTATCAACTTCATGAGTGTTGGGAAAGACAAAGATATGAAGAATTACTTATTTCGTTCACTTTCTTAATTTTTCAGGTGAAGAACTGAGGCAAGAGATAGCAAGTGACCTTTCCAAGGTCATAGTTTATTCCTCAATCCAGGCTGAACTTTGACTACAATTCACATATTTAAAGTCACTTCTCTTTTCATTTCACTACTACCATTATTTTGATCTCTCCAAAGTGATCAACTTGGCCAATCTACCTTTGCCTTTTTCAGGTAGAGCAAAATATCTCAGTAAAGGAAAAAAAAAAAAAACACGAGAAAATGCGCCTTTTATTCTTGCATTAATACAAGGTTAAAAAAACATCAAAATCTCAACCATAAAGCCCATTGGCCCTCTCTTATGCCTCCAGAAGCTAAAGTCTTTATCTTAGATTCTCCATAGGGACCAGAATATCATTTAACACTGAATTTTTTCCTACTCTGGCAAAGTCAGTTTTCTGACTGACCGACCACATTTTACTTAAATCGAGCACTTTCTCTTCCAACAAAATAAAAGCATACCAGGGAATACATTCAAGTCTCCCTCATCCCCCAAACAATTTACCAGAGTTGGAAAACGCAGACTCTAGCAATGAAAGGCTTCATTCTTCCAGTAGTGAATACTCCTCCATTTTCTAGCTAGGATGATATTTGGGTAAAGCTAATTCAAGGATCTATTATTACCTTGGCATAGCTTCTTAGCATTCAGTGATTTGGGGTTAACAAATCTCTGTAATTATTTTTTAAGGGATAAAACAAATATAAGGAACTAGTCTTGCCTTTTTCAAAGGCTCTGGCTCTAATCAGACTGCAATGACAGTTTTGATGGAAAATTTGCACGTGGTTTCCCCAACATTATATCCTCCCTATTATGCGCGGGCTGAAGAATGATAATGTGGTTTAGGTCTGCTTTACCGAGGAGATATCTTGTTTACTTCTGGTTTACTGCTTGTATGCTTTAGTACAAAAAGATCAAGTCTTTTACAGGAAGACTAAAATAGTGATTTTGGCCCTGGTTCTGGTGCTTGTAGACTAGAGTAGGTATCTCCAACTGAGGTATGGGGCTTCTAGGGGAACTTAATAGCCATTTATGCCAGCAGCTTTACCAGGCTAGTTCAAGTGTGAGTTCACCAAAAAGCAAAAGACTGCTTGATACAGACCAGGAAAAACAGGGGCCTGTGCCAGAGGCGTTTCAATGTGCTACAATTGTAGAGCTCATCTACTTTTCTCTAATTTGTGTGTGGCTTAGGAAAGAGGTGTGGCAGCTCCATTTTGGAGCCAAGGGAAGGTCTATGAGAAGACAGTAAACAGGATAGGAACTTAAACTGGGACCATTGTGTTTGCTTTCCTTCCAGTGATAAATTTTCCTGGTTAGTTCTTGATATCTATGAAAAACAGCTTTTTTTCCCAAGCTAACATTTCCTGCCCCACCTTTTAGACAGAATTGAGAAAGGTGGTGACTACCCTAA